AGACTTCGAATGAAGAATTGAGGCTTAGCGTAAAAACTCCTAAATATACTCGCCCTAATGAGATTCAAAGTGGATATCCAATAAGGTGATTTTTCTTTCACTCCTGGATTGTTTTCTCCCTGCTAATCAAGAAAGATTAAGAGTTACGCACGATGAGTTGAATCTCTATTTCCCGAAATTTATGAAGAGAACAGTTAGGGGTGCGTGTTGCCACCCACAAACGACGGGTAAAACTTGAGACCAAAGAACGTGAGAACATTGAGCCCTGATGATATGAAGATCAGCCAATAAAGGAGGGAATGCAAGGGATTATCACTTGATCCAAATCAGCCCTCGAACTAAAACCCAATCTCGAGCACATCCAGCTTTTATCCCCCGATAGAACTTAGAGCAGATGAAATGCTATTTATATATATAGATTATTACAGTCGTCCTTGTGACATCGGAAAACCGAGATTCCAAAAAGGAGGCATCAACTTGGAATTTTGCGCTTTTTAAATTTTGATGAGGTAAAATATACGATAAGGACATTTCCTGTTTTAAAAAAAATGCGGCGAACAGCAGACGCAGTAAAATCAACACCTCTTTAAAATCTACGCTAAAATACGCAAGAATTATCACCGAGATATCTGAAAGCCCATTGGACCAACAAATGTGATTTTATGAACCTCCTGATTATCTGACAGTTCCCGAGTTCGACTTTTCCCCGACTCCAGCCTGAAAATCCGTCAACAATTCAGACTGCTCCTTTTCTGAGGGCTAATAGGAGCTAATATAGTTAAACAGCAACCCAACCCTTGTGATGAGTTCATTTGTATGTAAGCAGACAAAATAATATAAACAGAATGGCGAAAGTTTTTAATAAATCGGACCAATAATGATAATAGAGTTATGAATTATCAAAATATGAAATTACTGAATTTATGAGAATCTCAAATTGGCGGTTTGGTCAGTTGATTGGATAACTCTCCCGTACCGTTTGTTGGGTACAAAAATATAACTAATTTCTGATTTTCTTCTAAGCGCCATTTTCCTTGGGGCACTTCTAATATTAGACATAATGGATAGCATATTATTATAGGACCTCTACAGAGAAATGACCCTTCAGAGTCATATATTTTTGGAAAATTAAAATTTTAGTCATTTTTGTGTTAGAGCAAATAGAAAAGTTGTCCGCCCAAACATCATAGAGACATTACCGATTCAACCAATTCAGAGAGCCCACATCTATAGTGATTACAACTTTCAACGATAATTCATAACTTTCTCATTTTTCAGTTGTGCGATTTCACCAGTATACTTCTCTGATCTGTCTGCTTTTCTCTAGAGTAGTTTTCTATCCAGGTATGATTTTCCTTTAACATATATTGTCCCCCCCCTCCCCCCCCCCCCTCAGTGTTATTTAGGGTACGCGTATATGCGTGTTCCCTCTTTTTGAAAGCACCCCCTATCTGAGGACTGCCAACATTTCCTAACCCCCCTTTCGCGGGCTTTTCGCGGGCTTTTCCTGCCTTGGAGACCCCCCCTAAATCTGGAAAAATGCTCAATGTACCCCCCTAAATTCGGAATAATTTTCAGGAGTCCAAAGAGATGAGAGAGAAAAGAAAAACACCCCCTTTTAAAAAAAATTCTCGGGCCGGACTTTGTCGCACGAAAAGTACCCCTTTACCGGATATTTTGGTAACACGCATGGTATCCCTCCGTTCTTGGAGTGGGGAGTGGGGAGGGGGGGTGGGGGGATTTCTAGAGCCATTTACACACAGAGTTTGGTAGACTTGGTGTCACTGTTTCACAACATGACGTATATTATTTTGTTATGTGCTTGCCCAACAAAGCAGTAGTCGCCATGTTGTGTCCAACTCGAACCGGGTTGGCCAAACTCTGTGTATAGATGACTCTGGTGATTTATAAATTATACCGGCATCCTCGGAATCTAAAGGGAAAAGAAGCACTTAAAAGGTACATGTACGAAAATCTACGACAGGAGAAATCACAATTCGAAGACACACCCAATGCGTACAAAATACCAACCAATGCTGGCTAAGAAAGTTTATTCAATATTTCACAACTTGCAAAGAGTTATTATGGCAGTAGATTTCATAAAAACTATCAAACATTTTGTTAAGTGTATTCATTTAAATTCGATACAAAATAGTTTTGTTCGTGTACCGTACTCAATAAAAAATGTGACCCTGGAATAGAATGAAGTTAGTCTCGTTTACAGAAATTAAAAAAAATTACTACAGGTTGGCAAACTTGAAAATGTGTACACAAATAATGGGCCATAAAAGAAATGCATTTTCCCGATATCACTATTGAAATAGATGTATTTCAGTAAACCAAACAATGTAATGAATTTGATGAAATATTCTTCAATTTTCAAGGCAGCGTGACGTATTTGTGCTTTTGCAATTTGTTTTCATATTGTTCTAATTTTCGTTCGAAATTCAAATAATCTTATAAAACCACTTATGCATACTTATATAAAATAAATTTAGAGACCAAATGTATGGGGAAGCTTAAAATATAAACTGCACAATGAATGAACTGTATCACTATTGAATGAACTGGATTATCATTACATGATAACTATGAATTTAAAAGCATATATGGGCATGATAAAAATTTACATTCAGATTCAATTGATATTGTCTCTTAAAAGCTGGCAAACACACACTGTTAGCCGATATAGAGCTTATAAGAAGAAGAAGAAAACAAAATCGACTCTAATATTTCGAATACTCAGCGATGGATCATAATAACAATATAAGTACTTTACATATGATTAGATACTGTTTTATATTCATAAATAAATAGCATAAATATGAAGAAATAAATAATACATCCAATACAATATACTGTCTCTTTCACAAACTCATTTTTTGCTCCGGGTGTCTTAAGACTGTGTCACCGTGTTTGCAAAACCAATTTCTCATCGCAGCTTTACACCTATTTCAAAACTCCTCCAAGAGGATAACGTCTCTTGACAAGGAAAATATACTTCTTAAGCCAAGGCTTTATCTTCTTAAATGTAACAAATAATATCACACGCTTTTTTCACAGCGAAATTTCAGCCATTAATTCGCTTCAGCCCCCGTGTCATGCATAAACGCCAATCGTTTCCACGATTTTAATAATAATATTATTCATGATAATAGTGGGTTCTTGTATAGCGCTCATGTCTGTCAAATTCGTCACTCGATCCTGACGCTCCACAATTTATACAATTAAATAACCAAAAACGAAATAGAAACAACACAAGACAACAATGATTACAAATCTGCGTTTTGCAATTACGTGTACGTCATAATTTACCATTCAGAGTATTTCAACCAGGGGCCCGTTTCATAAAACTTTTTATCAATAACAAATGCTTAATTTCTATGATAAATTTGCTCTCAGCCAATCACATGCCATGATTTCAGTAGCTTATAACAGTAGCTTGTAACAAGTTATTGATATCAAGTTTGATGAAACAGGGCCCAGGTCGCGCGAATGCAGTGTGAAAGAAAGTGTGTGGTAACGGTTGTAAAGGCTGCTCATGTTAGCATGTAAATAGTAAGCAAATAATTACCGTTGGTGAAGGTGATGGGACAAACTATCACTTCCGAGGCGATCTGGATGTAGCTATCTTTCCGAAGCGAAGCTGAGGAAAGATAGCGTATACATTCTGATCGACGAGGAAGTGATAGTCTGCCATCGCCTGAAAACCAAAAGGTGATTATTTGCTTTATATTCCACATCTAAAACAATTTAATTACAAAAAGAAAAAGACGTGTATGCATCTACATAAAAGACACCTAGGCCCAAATTCACACCAAAAAAGTTTATGTTTAAACCAACCCCTTGAGGGTTCGGTGCGCGCATGTGTTTTCTTTAATTGCGCTCATTGGTCATGCGCGCTTAATTACGCCTGTTTTAGTACGCGTTTGGATAATCTTCAGTGAAAGTGCGTAGCCCTTTGTAGATAGTAGTACTATCTACACAGTGTAACGAACTTTTTGCTTCTCCCATCAATAATGGGCGAACTATCTTTCCTCACGTGATTTACTTTTGACCAATCGTAGAGCAAGATTCTTAGTATGTGGGATATAATGGTGTATATACTGTGAGGTTTTGTAATCAACAAAATAAGAAATTGGCCCATTTTTGCTTTAAAAAAATACCCTCACATACATAGAAATGCGTAAATGGGACTACACTAGCATAAACCATGAAAATGGTAGTCCACAGCCTGTACCTGTTACTTGTCATATTTCGAATATGATGGAATTATGGAGAGCCATCCTTTTCAGGGCACATTTTTTTTTTATATGATTGATACTCTTCCACACTAACATAAAAAATTACAAAAATCACATATAATTTGTTTTCATCTTTTCCAGAACTCAACCTGTCTGCAAATTTGTTCTTGTTAACAATGTTTTAAGGTAAGAGCAGACAATATTTCCAAAAATATATTTACTACGTCATTTTTAGCAAAGAAATGTGAGGAGGACCTTACAATTTGATCTTATACCTTAATCAAACAAAAGAGAGCGAAACGAGACCGAAACAAATATTACTTTGACCTGACGGCAAAGATCGTGTCGGTTTGTGGGTTTGTCTGAGGTAAAAGTGCTCAGAGTTAACCATTTTTAAAGATATTGAGTACGCTTTTTTCAGTAAAAAATTGTAGGGGATGAGATCCAGGAGGGGGGCTTGGAAACCTGACCCTCTCACGATTCGCTTAGTGCTTTAAATAAAATAAAAAATCGTGTCCACATATCTTTCGCGAGAAAGTTATGTTACGAGTGGTGGTATTCTGAGCAAATTACTGAGGCCGGGTCAGATTATGTCCTGTGCTTAATATGGTTTTTAAAATTTACACTCTTTGCCAATACATGTAGAAGGATTTAGATGATAAAGGTCTGCCTTTTCAAACTTTATATCCCTAGTACTTTTAACCGTAAGAATGGCATCCAGGCCCCCCCACCCACCCCTTCCAACCCCCGCCCTAACCTCTCCTCCGATCCCCATTTGGGAACCTTGTAATTTGCCCTCCTTGTTTTCAAACTCGTAACTTATATTAATCATCATCATCTTAGCAAAGTTATTGTTCTTTCTTGATGGCATGTTGTTCAACCAAATTGAAAGCCCAGTCTCCGCAGTATCTATAATCATCTTCCTCTTCGACGTCATCAGAATCGACATCAGCGATGTCGTCATTTCACTGCTTGCATAACCTCTGCGATGTCGTTATGGTTGTTAGCTTTCCTCTCTCTTTGATGAGCGCAATTAATGGATTCCTCGTTAAAATTGTCTCAAGTCTAACAAGCATACTCCTCTATGATTTTGGAAACGTTTTCCTCCGCTCCATCCTCGTCCTTTTCATCTCGATCATCGTCGTCATCGCCGTCCTCGTCAATTATTTGTGTAGCCGCCGTCATTAGGATTACATGACGTGCCCGTTGACATGGTTTTCATGAAGCTTGCGTTACACATGTTTGCGTGTGTGCGTTGTGTACGCATCACACGCCCTTGTCGATTAAAGGCGAGATACCATTTCAGCTCTTTTCGCGCGCCTCCTTTCCTATACCATTGGATCCACGATGACCCTTGACACATGCCCGGAGCCTCGTACCAAGCACCCAAGCTATTTGATACATTGTACTATAAGGGGAAAAGATGAGAGAAAAGAAAAAAAATGATGTAATTATTTATTTATATATTCATTATTTATTCATTTAATGTTTATTTATTTACTTTTTAACCTGGAGGGGGGGGGGATCCAAACGAAAGTTGTTATTTCATAAGGGTTTTAAAAAATCAATGGAAATCTATAATCTACATTACTTTTCCGTACACAATGCTTATACTAGCAAATTGATTAATCATAAAATCGACATAACAGCTCCAATGCTGAATGGCTAATTTAAAGAAAATATATTCAATGAAAGCAATTACACACATCATTATCATCGTTTAAAGAAAAGTAAAAAATTATTATAATCATCATTATTAGGCCTATTATCATTATTGTTATTATCATTATAATTAGGCTCATTATTATTATTATTATTATTATAATTATTATTATAATCATCATCACTGTTATTATTATCATCATCATCACTATTATCATTATTGCTATTACCACTAGTGTTCTTTCTTTTGTTCTTCTTATCATTATTTGTATCATCATTGTCTTCATTATTTTCTTATCCTCATCCTCATAATTATTACCATGTTACAGTCATTTGTCAAACTGAAATGCAATATAACGTTAGCAATAGTAAAAGGGTTTTAGGATGTAACCATACATTTCAGCAATAATCTATTTTAAATCACCTACCGGCTCCGGGATTTGTGATGATGGGATTCCGTGAACGGAGCCAGCTTCGTCCATATGTATATATCTGTCGGCTGCTATGCCTTTTATCCGCGAGTACCCCGGTCCTATCGAAAAGATGTATAACCTAGCTGAAAGGAAGACAAGGGAATAATGTACTATATCATTAGTTATATGAACTATATACATTTTATAGGGATTACATATCGTTTTATCGTTAATCAACAAAGAACTTGGTACAAATAGATAACATGCAAAGATATATCACAATATATCATGCATGGCCCAGGGCAATGGGTTTGCAACATATAAACATACCAATACTCTTGCTGTACAGATACATATATCACATTGGCGTAATTCAACAAATGAAATAAAATAAATAAATGAATTAGGACACTTTAAGTAGACAAACTCCTTCATCATTTAGACATCTGAGAACAAAAACCTTTTAATCCTTTCAAAATATTTCATTGATTCATTTTGACAATTTTTAAATCATATTTTTGTGCGTTGATATTTATGTGACATACTGAAAGAACACATGCAGAACATAGTAACGCAACAAGAAGTCATATTATAAAAAAATAATAGATTAAGGATCATATATCGTCCTTACAGCATAATCTAAGCACTCATTAAAGTAGCAGTATAAAGTGTGTGGATTGCTTTTTAGTCCCCTACAATCCAATTTGATAATCGATGTTCTTTTTTCCACAAATGACACAGAAATATTGCTTAAACTAATTTAGCATCTCAAAAACAAAACAGTTAGAGTTATTTCCAACTCGACCCGAGACGTCACAATGCACAAAATTTGTCCACACGACATAATTCTACAAACAATTTCGAATCCTGACGCTTTTGACGATTTTTAATGAGTTGTATTAATATTCTGCTAAAGTCCAATGACTGAGGTGATCATACGATTCCTCTGGGCTTTATTTCATCTAAGGTATAGGCTTAGGATTATGTTACAATCGGGCTTTAAGTTAGGTTTAGGGTTGGAATCAAAGGTCGCAGGAGTACGTGTCGTATAGCCGACTCCGATTCTCAAATAAGAAGTCAAGCAAAAGTACAAGTCGAAATGCAGTAATATAATGAGTTTAATAAAAAAAAAAAAGACCTTCCTGCCTTGAATATTTTGCCAGCCGATTTAACTTATGAATTGAGGTGTCGCATAAACCCCACCGGAGTTGTAATGCATATCCGTTACTATGACCAGCTGTCGGTGACTTTCATAAATTTGAGAATTTTCACATCATATAAGTTACATAAAACTCGTCATGGTGCTTTCTACGAATCTAATGGACTCTACATCGACCAGACAATGAAGTCGGGATGAAAAATATGTTTCGAATCTTTCGAGTTCAACTTTCTAAAACGATTGTCATATCTCTATCCGTTAGTGGAGAAGAATGAGTTCTTGTAAATACTGGTTCAAAAAAGAAGAAAAAGTAATTTCTGAGATTTCTCACATTTTTCATTCCTATGTGTAATGATATCATAGAAAAGCATGGAGTTTTTCTAGATTCCACGATGCTGGAAATCTATTTCATTTTTTATGTATACATAGTTTTTTGTTCTTCTTTAATTTTAATATTGTTATTTAAGGACTTGTTAGTGTATTTTGCACGTCAAGATAATTTTGCCTAGAGGTGTTATTGAGCTTATGATCTGGACTGCTTTTCATTTTCCAGATGTATCAACCATGTTCGTAAAACGTATTTTTTAAAAGCCTGATGGAATTCATTGCTTCAGGTGTATCTGCTTTCCAATTTTAAATATGAATGTACAATTTATGTTCGTCTGATTTTGTACCTTTAAGAAAGGCAAATATAAAATATGATATAATGTCATTTGGAGGATTTGGGATCTAATGATGTATTCCGATTGAAACATATTCAACTTTCTGTTCTCTTATTCTCTTTCGATATATTTCTCTTGTGATTCACATTGCTCTGTGCCTAGAACCACTGACAGTGATGACGTCATAATCTATCCAGGGTAGGAGGCAGTGGCGTATACAGATCTTTCCGTCAGAAGGGGGAACAATCTCAGTTTACTATCATCCATGTATTCCATGGTAAGAACAAGCAATTTTAAGGACGCTAGTTTTCGTACGAGGGAGTATCGTCCAAAATTACTTATCTTGTGTACAGAAAGCAAACATGTTGAAGAGGTATATAACCCCCCCCCCCCCCTATGCAATCGGATCCTTATAACTACCAGTAATATAAAAGGTCGCTATGTTTTGTTTTCCTTGATCATCATACATCTGCCATGAGGGGTAAATCGCCCCCTTGCCCCTCCTCTAAATAGGTTACTGGTAGTAGGGAGCAGGCAACAAGCATTGGCAGGTGCATTCTTGGCTCCAGAGGGGCGCTGTTTCATATTCTCTCATACTCAAAAGTGATCCTTGACTCATTCACGCTGTTCTGCTATGCTCACTGTTTACTTGTGATTAACAATGGCGTATTGTCCCGGTGTGCCTCTCCTAATGTCTTTTGTTTTGGCTGGCATGCTGGGTTGGAGGAGAGAAATGAAGATGATCTTTACACATTCTTGCCTTTCCTTCAGTGGTTATGCTGTTTGGGGATTTCTGTGAAAGTTGGTTAGAGCCAAAATAGGGGTTTTGATAAAGGGATGTGGGAGACAATAGATGGAACGGATGAGCGGTAACACCTGCTCTGATGGTAGAGAACAGCTTATTGACAATCATATAATTGTAATAGAATATATATATATACATATATATATATATATATATATATATATATGTATATATATATATATATATATATATATATATACACACACAAAGGACCAGTATTAGCAATGACCCTGAAATAACTACATTGTGAAAAGAAATGATAGAAATACAAAATAATGAAAAACCTAGAGATCACATATGCACCATTGTTATTTCTTTTGAAAAATATCGTGTGTATATATATATATATATATATATATATATATATATATATATATATATATGTGTGTGTATGAACGCATATAAATTCATTTATTATTTATCATTTATTTATCTATTCATATTCATACATAATTATGCATCGTTTGAATTTCTTCCCAAGTCATTTTTTAAACAAAACTTTTCTTTCACCTTTGAGCCGGTCATAATTTTCTCCGTCTTCTGTATGCTCTCATTGTAAAGAAAGACAATAGATGAGCAGCATCATTTTCATTGTTATCTATTATAGCGATCAACCTAAAAACCTGATCTCCTAATACCAAGAAATTTTCAACGAACACAAATATTTTACCTGGAAAAAATAGAAATCTGAACTATAAACAAACACAGGCCCTTTCCTAATTTCTTGGAAAACTAAGATGATATTTTGCACTCGTCTGATATTATTCTGCCATTCCATGACGTAAATTTGATCATTTTTAAAAACTGGAAAGTACATGCTCATTAAACATCTAAATCATTCATACCACTTGAAAATCTTATATTTGCTTGTGTTTTTCGTAACTCAAGAATAAAAGGTGGGCTGGTTGAATTAGGTCATTTGTTGAATACGTTCAGAGGTAAACTTGAATATGTCACATTCTCAAAAAAACGTAAATCAGAAGAAAGCAATTTCTCACATACTTACAAAATTACAAAACTAAGGGTATGAAAAAAAATTATTTGTTAACTGTATGCATGGTATAGTTTTGTGATAAACGTGAAAATAAAAGGAAGTGGAGAAAAAAATATATAAAAGAAACAATAGACGAGGAATTTTGGGAGTAAGAAAAATAACATAGGAAATACGCGGCTCTACAAAGTACAATACAGAGGATGTTATTTCGTGTATTACTTAAAATTGTTGTTTACTCTTGGAATAAAAAAGCACACATTTCAGAACCTTTATGAAAATATATACAAGGTGCGGCGTGTGATTTGTATGATGATGCATTGTTTATCTTATGTTTTTGCCGGAACTTTCATTTTTAAACTTGTCAATCAACTCCCATTATGTTTTCAACCCCACACGCACACGCACACCAACCCACCCCGCACTCAAATTTTCCCGGCCCTGTTTTAAATTAATAAAAATAAGAATATTCCGCTTCGTATTTTGTCCTACATTTTTTAGCGTGTAGCAAAGTGTGATATTAGGTCCCTATATATCCTACCAAATTAGCATACTTGCTTCAGACTCTTAATTTAATCTGACTTATTAGTTTTCTGTTCGGCGTTAATCCAAGGGTTTATTTTGTATGTATCTTATATCAATTAGAAACCATCAAACTCTTGGCAAGAAATTCTTGCCAAATCACAAATGTTTCTCATGCCCCCTCTTGTGTTACACAAAAATCCACCAATTCCGAAAGAAATGTATTTATGTAAAAAGTAATTGGCTCTGCACCAAAAATGATACAGCCAGATTCTACAAATTTAATGAAAAAATGGAATTCCAACCACAAAATGTAGCCCAAAAATGAATTACTAAAAACAATAACATAGTGCGTTCCATATAGAAATCTTGGATGAATTGTGTTCGCAATTCTTGGATAATAATGGGAATATGTCAAGTTGGTCAATATGCCAGGATGTTTCTAGAAGCTCTTGAGGCTTTTGCCTCTCTGACTTTTGTGTGATCAATTTACCAATTTACCTATTTACCTAGATCTATATTGGTGGTGGTTACTTTACCTGAATAAAAAAGCACAAATGCTTGTTAGTAAGCAACCAGAGGACCGACGGCCTAAAGGTTTATTCCGAGAGACCTGGTAATGAGGATTAATGCCTCACCAAAGGGCACTAGCGCATCGCCTTGGTTTCGAACCCGGGTCGCCAGATTACGAGACCACTGGTCTACCGACTGAGCTATTGCGCCTCCTCAAGGGTATTGATACCACCTTCTATTCTTATTGGGTGATAATTTTATATTTCATCTTATTTCACGTGATTTGAAGAGTACCGCCATCAACAGGTTGCTTATGCAGATTCACATAAATCAATTATTTTAATTTCATGAAATAAATCTTATGATGGTAAAAAAAAACTATACAACATTACATAAAACAATTTATTTGAGAATCGGTATGGGTAATCAAACCCGGTAACTTGGTAAACTCCAGAATCACTTCTAAAACGTCTGGTGAGCTTCAGAGCATT